ACGTCCAAGCCGTCGGGTGTCGTCAAGAAGCGCTGGGAGCAGTGCGGCGGCAAGGACTACACGGGCAGCACGCAATGCGCCGAGGGCACGTCGTGCTTCAAGCAAGACGAGTGGTACTCGCAGTGCATTCCGTCGTCCAACAAACACTACTAAGTCTCCACAAACTATTTGTTTCAACGTCTATATACACTTGTCAATGGCTTTGGAGTGTGCACCGCTTTCGCGCCACTGTAAATGCACGCATGTCCGTTTCATTGGCCCCAAGATTGGGCGCGACGCGACGGGATTGGTTGCTGAACCGTCGCACAAACCTACCTTGCAGCATGGGTGGGCGTAACTCGACGGTGCCCTCGACGGCGGGCTTGAGCCTCTCGTCCGGCATCAAGGCCTCGCAGCGCAGCGGTATCTCGGGGCGTATTTCGTCCAAGTCGATCAACCTCTCGCGCTTCTACAAGTCGGAAAACGAGATTGCCATTTCGGCGTCGGAGGCGAAGGAGCCCGATTGGAATGTCGTCTTCAAAGGCGAGGTCGCGACGCCGGACGAGTACCAGCATTACATGCCGCCCAACATGCCGCTCTGTCCGACGTACGAGACAGCGTATCACGCCGAGTGCAGTCGCAGCTGGAAGATTCTCTGCAAGGGCGGCACCGACAAGATGCGCGAGCTCAAGAAAGATGGCATCGTGCTCTTCTACGACGAGTTCTTTCATCGCCTCTTTCAGCGCGACCCGAGCTTTGGCGAGATCTTCCCAGGCATTCGCAAGCGCATCGAAGTGCTCATCAAGGCCATGAAGTTCATGCTCGGCGAAAAGAAACTTCCGAACGACCTTGTCATGACCCGCAGCCGCAACCTCGGGTTCCGCCATCGAACGATCCCGCTCATTCGGCCACACCACTTTGCCATGTACACGAGTACGATGCTCGAGGTCATCATGTACTGGCTTGACAACGAAGCGACACCCGATGTCGGTGAAGCGTGGGGCAATCTTGTTGGCTTCCATCTCAAGTACCTCCTCCAAGCGTATTTGTACAACAACGTCAACTACGACGAGTGGAGCCAAAACACGGCGATGCCAGTTGCAAAGTCCAACCAA